CGATATACAGACATGTGTTACCACTTTAACATGAAATTATGAGAAGTGGATGTTTATTTGAAACTGTTCTGTATTAATTTTCTGTTACTTTTTAAAAATCTTTCTTAAAAAAGTTTTTATTTTTATTTATTTGACAGAGAGAGCACATGTGCACACATGAAGTGAGAGGGACAGGGATAGGGATCCCAATATGGGACTCCATCCCAGGACCCTGGGATCATGACCTGAGCTCTAGGCAGATGCTTACCTGACTGAGCCACCCAGGTACCCCTAATTTTCTGTTACTTAAGTGCTATTATTTAAACAAAACTATAGAACTAGTTAAAAGTGGCAATTAGTAGTGATTAATACAAAAACTATGTGAGAAAAATATATTTATATTTATACATTATAAACATTATACAGAGGATAATTATACATTATCTCCTAATACTAAAGTTTAACTTTTTTTTAAGATTTTATTTATTTACTCATAGACACACAGAGAGAGAGAGAGAGAGGCAGAGGGAGAGGCAGGCTCCATGCAGGGAGCCCGATGTGGGACTCGATCCCGGGTCTCCAGGATCACACCCCAGGCTGCAGGCGGCACCAAACTGCTGTGCCACCGGGGCTGCCCTAAAGTTTAACTTTTTAAAAAAGAACTTCTTATTAGATTACTATGTATTCTTGTTTTTTCCTTTTTTAAATTAAACTATAGTTGAGACCAAATGTTATGTTAATTTCAGGTGTACAGCGCAATGATTTGACAAGCCTATATATTATGCTATGCTCACCACAAGTGTAGCTACTACCTGTCACCATATAATGCTATTCCAATACTATTGATTGTGTTCCTTGTGCTATACCTTTTATTCCCATGACTTATTCACTCCATAACTATAAGCCTGTGTCTCCCACTTCCCTTTACTCATTTTGCCCATCCCCCGGCTCTCTCCCCTCTGGTAATTGTCAGTTTGTTCTTTGTATTTATGGGTCTGTTTCTGCTTTTTGTTGGTTTATTGGTTTATTTTGTTTTTAGATTACACATGTAAGTGAAATCATATGGTATTTGTCTTTCTCTGCCTGACTTATTTCCCTTACTATAACATCCTCTGGGTCCATCCATGTTGTCACAAATGTCAAGCTCTCATTTTTTATGGCTGAGTAATATTCCTTTGTGTATATGTATGTGTGCGTGTGTGTCACATCTTTATCCATTCATTTGTAGATGGATACTTGAGTTGCTTTCGTACCTTGGCTATTCTACTTATTCTTAAGATGCATAAATGCATAAATGTAAGACTTTTAAAAAGGGTAATAAAATATAGTAGAACTGATATTATATATATATTATAATATAATATATATATTATAAACTGATATTATCTATACTTAATTAAACAGCTCCATGCTTCTTTTTGTCTTGTGGCACAGTAGTATATTTTTACTCTATTTCCTTTTTTGAAAGCATTTTTTTGAACTGTCCACAGGCTTTCAATTTCTCTTACGTTGTGGTAAAACTGAATATAGTCAAACCTAAAGTTCACTTCAGTAGCTCTGCTTTTATCAAACCGATGCTCCACCGATTCCTGGTATCAGTGCAAAATGATGACATCAAGCTAAATTTCCTCTTAACATTAGTGTTTAGGCATAGAAATCTTAGGATTTTATGAGTCAAGATTTAGACTCATAAGATTCTTTTCCAGCTGGTCAAAATGCCCACCTCCTCCCTATCTGTAGGCATGTTTATGTAGAACAACTATTTGTCAGTCAGGTCCTTTGCATTCATTTATTCATCATGTAGCCTAATATCTAAAACACCAATCATTTTTTAAGACTATGAGGCATAGGAGATGTCATAGATTTAACCTCTCTTTCTCAAGGAATATGGTTTCAAAGTGGAGAGGTAATTAGAACTTGTAAAAATAAACTTGAATTTCAGAAAAATTACAATTTTAGTAAAGAAATTAAGAAAACTGTTTCACTTGGCTGCCTTGTTCTGGTGTTTTTGTTTTTTGAGTTCTGAAGTAATCTTATTTCTAAAAATTTGGGGGGTTTTGTTGTTTTTGTTCTCTTGCTGTATCAGTTTTTGTTACAATCTACATACAATACTGAATAACTCAGATGCAGTCAGTTCATCCTTTTCTAGATTTCTAATGGCTTCTGCAAAAGTTCATCAAATGATTTTGGAGAAACAATATAGAATTGCTTTATTGTAATTCTTCCCTACATTTTCATCCTCAGTGCACTTAGTGAGCACCTACTATATGCCAACCACCACCCTGAGTGAGGTAGCTGTGATCAAAATTGGCAAAGCTCCTGCTTTTATAAAACCTATTATTCTGGGATCCCTGGGTGGCGCAGCGGTTTGGCGCCTGCCTTTGGCCCAGGGTGCGATCCTGGAGACCCGGGATCGAATCCCACGTCGGGCTCCCGGTGCATGGAGCCTGCTTCTCCCTCTGCCTATGTCTCTGCCTCTCTCTCTTTCTCTCTCTGTGACTATCATAAATAAATAAAAAAAAATTAAAAAAAAAATAAAAAAAAACAAAAAAACCTATTATTCTGTAAGAGACATACAGATGTATTTTTCACTTTTTAAAAAGCAATTCTAGGGGTGCCTGCGTGACTCAGTAGGTTAAGTATCTGCCTTCAGCTGGGGTCATGATCCTGAGGTCTTGGGATCAAGTCCCACTCCCCAGGCTCCTTGCTCAAAGGGGAATCCACTTGTCCTTCTCCCTCTGCCCCCCTTCTCATGCTCTTTCTCTTGTGTGTTCACTGTCTCTCAAATAAATAAGCAACTATATTTAGGTTTAAATTGCAGGCAGTAAAATGGACACATCATAAGTGAATGAATTTTTACAAATGTATGCACTCATCTAATTACTACCATAATCAAGATCCAGAACATTTTTTTAAAAGATTTTGTTTCTTTTACTCACGAGAGACACAGAGAGAGGCAGAGACACAGGCAGCAGAGGGAGAAGCAGGCTCCCTGCAGGGAGCCCAATGTGGGATTTGATCCCAGGACCCCGGGATCATGACCTGAGCCAAAGGCAGATGCTCAACCACTGAGCCATCCAGGTGCCCCACATTTTTCTTTTTTAGAGTTTCATATAAATGGAAACATAGTCATTTGCTTATACTCTTGATTTCATTTGCTCAACATAATGTTTCTTGAGATTCATGTTTTTGCATGTCAAGTAGTTCACACCCGTTTTTTGGTAATTATTATTACATTGTACAGATAAGCCACAGATTGTTTATCCATTCACCAGCTGATGAATATTTAGGTTGTTTCCTGTTTGGGATTACTAAAAATGAAGCTATGAAAAGTAATGTACAAGTGGAAATGATATGGAAGAGCTAGGTTCTTGTCTCATGGGGTCAAAGAATGAATCTTGCTGACAACGGAGTGTGAGTAAAGTGATAGAAGTTTATTAAGCAAAGATACAGACAAAGCTCTCAGAAGTGAGAAGGGATTCAACAAGGTTGCCACTGAAGGGTTTTTTGGCTGGTTTTTTATTGAGAACCTAACCAGGGAGCCTATGGCTTTGGGTTTCTTTATGCTTTCTTAAGTGAATGTCATATGGCTGTTTTTGGGTCTGGTGTTTCTGTGATTGCTTGGTAACCATCAAAGGGAGAGACTCCCTACATTTTAGATCTAGGGAGCCTGATTTTTTTTTCTTTCTATTTTTACTGTCTTAATCTATTTCCTTGGGATGGGTAGGAGCCTGACTTTGGGCCTTTCCCTTATTTTTCCCTGCCTAGCTTCATCTGCCCCTAACTCATTCCTACTTCAGAAACGTTTTCATAGGACAGCCCCGGTGGTGCAGTGGTTAGCGCTGCCTTCAGCCCCGGGGTGTGACCCTGGAGTCCCGGGATCAAGTCCCACGTCAGGCTCCCTGCATGGAGCCTGCTTTTCCCTCTGCCCGTGCCTCTGCTTCTCTGTGTACATCTCTGATGAATAAATAAAATCTTTAAAAAAAAAAAAGAAACATTTTCATATTTCTAAGAAAATACCTGGGAGTGAAATTGCTACATCAAGTGATAGTGTATGATTGATTTTCTGGTAAAATACAAACTCAATCAAAGTGACTGCACTATTTTACATTCTTATCAGCAACAGATGAGAGGTCCAGTTGCTCTAAGTCCTTGTCAACATTTGGTGTCGTCTTTTAAATTTTGGCCATTTCAATGGAAATGTAGTAGTGAAGGTGTTTTCTTATTCCTGCCATTCTACTTACATAATACCACTCTAAAATGGATCATTAATACATTTTAAGAAAAACTTAAAACGTTTACAAGTCTGAAAGAAAATGGCTTGGTTGACTGCAGATATTTTGTTTCTATTTTCCCTCAAGAAGCCTCCAGGCTCTCTAGGACACCTGAATCCTGTGTCAGGCCGCGCTAGCTCGGTGAAGCTCACACTCAGGCTTTTCTTGCACGGACACAACTGCCAAGGTCTGCAAGGACTTTCCCGGGTTTTTTCCGCCTTACCGTCACCTTTCTAATAATTTCCCAGGGAGCCGCGCGGGGCGGGGCGGGGCTCAGACGCCCACCAAGCTCCACCCCTCACCGGGACCCGCCCACTACCCGGGAGTCGGCTTGAGGCAGGGGAAGGAAGGTAGCTTCCGGTCTCGCGATTGGCTCTAATCCCGCGAGAAGAGAAGACGGCTGCCGTCGGTGGCAATGGTGAGGGAGGGGGTGTGGCCGGGGCGCGCGAAGTCCCCAGGAGTGAGGGAGAGGGGGCGGGTCGCGCGCACCGGGCGTACGCATGCGCGCACGGGGCGGCCGGGCTGGGCTGAGAGGGGAGGGGGCGGCGGCGGCGGCGGCGGCGGCGGCGGCGGCGGCGGCGGCGGCGGCGGCGGCGGCGGCGGCGGCGGCGGCGGCGGCGGCGGCGGCGGCGGCGGCGGCGGCTGAGGCGGCGTCGTTATTTCCGCGGTCTGGACGGTGCGTGGCGGCGCGGGTGGCCACGGGAGAAGTAGGTAGGGACTGCCGGTGCAGAGCCATTGACTCTCCCTTCCTCCTGCGTCCTAGAGCCGCAGCCCCCCGCGCGTGTGGCGGACCCTGGGGACGCCAGGTCACCCTGCGGCCCCGGCCTCCCGCCGCGCTTCAGGTAGGAGCTGCAGGCTCTCCGGTGTCCGCTGCCCGCCGAGGCCCCGGCCTTGCCCGGTGTTGCCCGGGCGACGACCCGGCACCGGGCGTGCCCGCCCTCCCGCGCGACGACAGCTCTGTCCTTGCTTCCGCGCCCTGTGGGGCTGGGGCCGGGGCCGGGGCCGGGCCCGGCCGGGCTGACCCGGGGAAGGTGGTCGTGGGGCGGGTCCCCGCCTCAGGTGCGCAGCCGCTCTGGGCCGGGCGAGTCGGTGCCCTGCGGGGCGCTCCCGCCCTCGGTGCCCGCCGTGCGAGGCTGCGCGGGGTCCTGCCGGGCCCGGAGAGCTCCGGACACGTGAGGGACCACCCTGACTGAACAGTTGCCTCGTGGGCCCCCGGCTGCGAGAGGTGGCTCTGAAGAGTGCCTTACTCATCTGCGTCCGGTGTGCAAAGTTGAAAGCTCTGGAGTTCATCCTGCTTGGGCCAGTGGCGGTGGGGTGGCTTCTCATTTTTTTCCTTGGATGGTGGGAAGGCAAACCCTTAAAAGCCCTCGTAGGTGCTGGGCTATTAGTAAATAAGCAGCAGTGCTTTTAACGTAAGGTTTAATTGCGTTAAGGTTTATTATTTTTTATTTATTTTTTTTATTTCCCAGTTGCCCCTATCAAACTCCGATGAAGTCTGGCAGTTTAGTAAGACTTGAGTGAACACACATGGCTTGCAAATAGTCTTGCCCTGAAAGCCACAATCTCTTTTACACCAGTGTTAATTTTATAGGCATTATGGTCATGAAAGCTTCTGTAGAAGATGATGATTCAGGATGGGAGCTCAGTCTACCAGAAAAGATGGAAAAAAGCAATACAAGCTGGGTGGACATAACCCAAGATTTTGAAGAAGCTTGTCGAGGTGAGTTTGAATTCTTGGGTTAGAAATTAAAAACCTGGGAAAAGGTAAAATAAGATCTTGTGATTTGTAGACTCAAACGTAAGCAACAGGTAAGTGTGGTTTATCAAGTTTGTTAACCACACTTATTCATTCCTTACCCTCTTAATGCCCGTATTTGATAGTGCATGAAATACAGATGTTGAAGCAGTTGCTTCAGTTTTTCTAGCCTTAACAGATGAGAGAGTACATGGCAATAATTTCAGACTGTGCAAACATGAATTGTCTTGACCTAAAGAGGGTGGACTATTATATGTTTGAGATTTGTAAATAATCAGATTGCATTATTTCCTGTCTAAGAGCCTGTAGCGGCTTCCTGTTCAATATAGAATAAAATCCATATTCCATCCCCGTGGCCTGTGTGGTCTGATGCCTGTCTACCACTGCCCAACTAGGCTCATTATGTTAGTCACAATGTCCTTTCTATGCCATTAAGCTCACCAGGGCATTTTCCCCTTGGGCCTCTGCATATTTCTTTTTCTGTATCTTAAACTGCTTTGCCTCCAGGTCTTTACCTTCACATAGCTGGCTCCTTCCTGGCCAGTTAAATGCTAGCTCCCCAGGGAGGATGTCTCCAAACAATCTAAGTAGATTTAGCCCTGTTCTCTTCTGTCCGACTCTGTTTTTTTTTTTTATTATTATTATAATACTTATATACTATCAGAAGCTGTCTTTTCAGTTATTTCTTGTTTACTGTCAGCCCTACCCACTGTAACATAAGCTCTGTGAGTGCAGACATCTTGTCTGTAAGCCTAACACAGAGAACATTGCCTGGAACATAGTAATGGTTTAACAAATGCAAAGGCATAATTGATTAGAGAAGTGAGCATATTTGTTGTCTGAGGAGAATGGGTCTTAGGGAGAGACGGGAAAGAGACAAATGGTAGAGTGGGAGGGGTGCCTGGGGGGCTCAGTTGTTTAAGCAGCTGCCTCCCGCTCAGTTCCTGTGATCAAGCCCCACTTCAGGAACCTACCTCTTCCTTTCCCTCTGCCCTCCCCTTGTGCCTCCCTCCCCACTGTGCTCTCTTGCTCATGCTTTCAAATAAATAAAATCTTTTTGAAAAAAAAAAAATGGTAGAGTGAGAGATTGAATTTGAAGAGAGGATGGGATAAAGAACATGGTAGAGAAATTAACTGAGGGGACCAGACAGGAGGAACTGAGGTTAAGATTGGTGAAGAAACAGGTAGATTTCTAAACGAGTGGGGAGGAATGGTAGAGGGATACACACCCCGATGGCTTCTCTGTTTTTACTAAACTGAAGGTGAAGTCTTTGTTGTTGATGAGATGGAGTGTTTAGAATAGTGCCCTTAGAAGGAGGAGTAGAGACTCGGAGTAGCTGCAGGTGGTAAGGGAGCCAGCTGGGTATAAGCAAAATGATAACACGTGCACTGACCCTTTGACTGTTATGAAACGTGTCCATTTAGAGAAAGCAAAAGTGAAATTGTGGAAAGAATATTAGACTGGAAATTGGGGGATTGCCCATATCCATCTATCCAAGGGAGAGAGAAAGAAGTGTAAGTTACAGTAATTTTTTGTGCCCAGAGATCTTAAACTGTTGGTGGATTATGCCCATCATCTTGCACTGATTTTTAAGTGATCTGTATTAGAGGGTTGTTGTTCTGAACCTAAATGGAAAAGGCTTTATGAAGTTCATATGGCTTGAGTTGGGCCTTAGAGGAGTGGTTGAGTTTCTGTAAGTGAATGTGAGGGAATTATTCTAGACTCAGATGAACTGTTACTCTCACCAGAGTTCATGAGAGTTGGATATTTGAGGGAGAGTGAATAATTTTGCTTCCTCATGAGCAGAACCTTAAATAGGCAATATGGTTTTATTCCTTTCTCAGTGGGGATTGAAGAGGGGGGGGCATGTCATTTTGCTCAAACCATCCTATTAACTTTGTCAGCACCTCAAACCATCCTATTAACTTTTCAGTAATTAGCTCTTGCTTGGTCTGAAGTGGCACAGATGTGAGGTATATTTGAAATGAAAAAGTTGATGTAGAGGTGATCTTCCTTTACATATAGATTTAGGACTAAATTCTTTTGGGAGCTCTTGAGCCTATAGTATTAATAATTTGTTTTCTTGAAATCAGATTCATAGCATTAATTTAACTTAGACTCCAGCAGCTTTCTGAGGGCTAAATTTAAAACAAATATTATACCCTGTAACTGTTGCAGTGGTCTTTCCTCTTCAGTAACAGTGCGATGGCATTTGACTAGACCTTAGGGATTATTTATTTTGGTACCGAGAAAGCAATCTGCATAGTGATGACAGTGTTTTTCATGTACCATTTCTATCTGTTCTTTTAGTGACTCTTCAAAGTCTTCTGGGCCAAATTCTAATTTCATCACTTCTTTTATTTCCTGTTAGGCAGATGGCACACATTCCCTCCACATTTCCTATTTTCAACATTGAGGCCCTTGGTCTTTTTTGGGGGATAGGGGGGCTTTTTTTCCCCCCTTAAATTATTTTGAATATATGGTGCTGTTATTGTTACTGTGCCTGGTATGTAACATGTCATTTATCTAACACTTCTGAGCTTTGCTTCTCTAGGAAACTGCCTAATTCAAACCATCTCATTGCCTCCTATAAAAAGCCTTTGATCTTCATATTTCATTTGGCTGTCTAAAATTAGGTGCTTTCTGAAGTACAAACCTACAACTTAAACATAAATGATCATAAAATATACATTGCTCATTCTTCTACCTATCAGATTCTTTTCTTCCACACTGTTTATTCTAGATTGATGACACTGTCAGGTATCTAGAACTCAGAGGTAATCCAAGGTTGGGTGTTATTACTTCCATTCTTTTTGAGCTTTAGTCTAGAATGAAATGGGCCTATCCTGTCATTTCATATCCTTCTGTCTTTGATGGTTTTACTCATTCCTCCTCTGTCTTTCTCACCCCATGTTTTAAGGCCCCATCACCTATCCAGTTTGCCCCACTCTTGCCCAGTACTTTTGGAAAACTTTTATTGATTTCTCTTCCTCTTTTAAAACCTAGGATTCTTAAGTTTCTTGTTCCTTTTCCTTTTTGTGTTGTCTTCTCTCATTTAGAATGTTTGTAGATCCTAAGATATATTTGTTTAAAGAGTGAATGAAAGGTGCCTGGGTGTCTCAATTGGTTAGCGTCTCCTTTGGCTCAGGTTATGATCCCAGGGTCCTGGGATGAAGCCCAGCATTGGGCTCCCTGCTTAGCGAGGAGTCTGCTTCTCACTCTCCCTCTGCCTCTTCTGCATGTGCCCACTCTCGTGCAGGCGCTTTTTCTCTCAGATAAATAAAATACTTATTTATTTATTTATTTATTTATTTATTTATTTATTTATTCATTCATTTATTCATTTATTCATTCATTCATTCATTCATTCATTTATGAAAGAGAGAGGCAGAGAACACAGGCAGAGGGAGAAGTAGGCTCCATGCAGGGAGCCCGACGTGGGACTCAATCCTTGGTCTCCAGGATCAGGCCCTGGACTGAAGGCGGCGCTAAACAGCTGAGCCACCCAATGATCCCCAGATAAATAAAATCTTAAAAAAAAAAAAAGGTTATTTTATGGCCATGTTTCTTCATATTAGAGTATCTGGATATTGTACTTCAGAGGTTTGAGAATCACTGGATTACATTAAATGCTATCATTTTGGGTGATTGCCTGAAACCAATGTAATTATGAACACAAGATTGGGTACTAAAATTATAGCAATATTTGATTATAATGTCAGTATCCATTTGGTAATCTGTAATCTTCTTAAAAAATTATCACCAAACTGATTACATGGCATTTAACAATTATCTTAAACAAAATATAGATTCTTGATAAAACTTTCATGGACTCCTCCTCTGCTGAATTTATAAACCCCAATCTGAGAGTCATTGTTCTAGGAATTTGCTGTTTATATTACTTTATTCAAGAAGAAAAAGATGGAAATGGCTTGGTGAAGTTCTGGGCAAATCTAAGTAAGTATATTGGGCAAAGATCTGTAAAGAAAATTTTAAGTGATTCTGATTTTGGAAATTTATGTTTTCCTTGTTACGTCTTCTCAATGTTTTCAGTGGTGGGGCATGGGTGGGTTGGGCTGTACTAGTAATTGTGGGTCACTTTAGATCAGCGATTATCTGCCAGGGTTGATTTTGCTTCTTAAGGAACATTTGCCAATGTCTTGCAACATTTTTGGTCGTCACGGTAGGAGGCGGGCGGCTGCTGGTGTCTAGTGGGTACACACCAAGGATACTGCACCGGATAGCCCCCACAAAGAAGTAATTGTTTTGTACAAAATGCCAACAGTGCTGTGTAGTTCACTCTATTTAGGTTACTTTCAATAATATTCGACTGTTATTTAATCTTTCTGACCCTGGATTCTTGAGAAAGGGAACATATGGATATTGGATGTCCTAACACCTCTAACAACTAGCATTAACATAGAATAAGCAGTGGGAAGAGAATGGGAGCTTTTGATGCACTTTGAGGTCTTTTCTGCATTGCTGAATACATCTTAACAGGTTTTCTCATTAATTAGGTATTGTGTAGCCTCCTTTTTGTTGGGAATTTTTGGTTAACAGAAAGGTTCTCCTCAGAAGTCAACGCCTTCCCTCTTTTAGCTGGTTATTTTAATATCCATAATTCTAGATAGCATGCTTTTGTTACTTCTGGATTCCTTGCATTCACGATTTGGCATTATCTGTGGACTTTTTTTTTTTTTTTTTTGAGATTTTATTTATTCATGAGAGATGCAGAGAGAGAAGCAGGCTCCATGCAGGGAGCCTGACGCGGAATTCGATCCTGGGTCCCCAGGATCAAGCCCTGGGCTGAAGGTGGCGCTAAACCACTGAGCCACCCAGGCTGCCCTGTGGACTTCTATCTATAGTTATAACTACATTACGGATATGCAAATATTATCCATAGCTGAGCTAAAGAGTAAAGTTTTTCTTTTTCTTTCCTGTACAATTCTTACACAAAACTTTT